GCGGTGGGCTTTCCTCGCCGCTTCCAAGGCAGCCTCCGCACCCTTGCCACGATTCAGCGCCTGCTTCCGGGCCGCATTGTAGCAGCGGGAAGCGTAGCGCTTGCAGGTATCTGGTCCGTCCCCGGAGGGTCCGGACTTCTTGCCGCAGCTGGCACTAGCGGGCTTGCGCATCTGGCTGGGGCCAGCACTGGGTCGACGATGAGCACTTGGGCGCCGAAGAACCCCCCCTGGATCCGACTCTTGACCCGGATTCTCACGCTCGCGCTTCACTGCGCGCGTGCCTAGCTCACCCCGCAGAGCGCGCAGCTTCTCCTGCAGAGATGGCTGGGGAACGCGCAGATCACGTTTAGGCTCGTCGTCCGGCGTCTCCCTCGTGTGGTCTGCTTGGCGCACTTCCTCCTCCCCCTCCTCCGCGTCCTTGTCTTTCGTCGCCTCCGCCTCCTTGTCTTTGATCGCCAGTACTATAGGCTGCTGAGCGGTCGCGCCCCGCGCTCCCGTAGAAGTGCTGTATTCACGCGGTTCGACTCCTACCAAGCTCGCAGCCTGGCAGGCCAACTTTGCCGTAGACATGACGGCGTCTGCCATTTTCTCCAGGGCTGAAGGGCCTGCGGTCACACTCGAACTCCCTGCGTCGCCCTTGCACACTAGTCTGTTAGTGTTGCGCACCGGCCACTGCTTAGCAACGCCCCCAAAATCGACGCATCCACTCGGGATGGGCGCCGGTCTTGCCCCGCCAGGAAACGCTCGCTCCCTGCGCTCGGCAGGCAAATCGGTCCATTCTGCTGGCAGTGGCGTCAACCAGATCAGCGGCCGAGGACCAGCCAAGAGCTTCCTGATGAGCGGCTTCTGTTTTTGCTGTAGATGGAATTTCGCTTTGCCGGACATAGCCAATGCTTGTCCTTGATATGCCAAAGTCAACAGCATGGCCATCGTGCTCTCATAAGGCAAACGTAGGCCCAACAATGCCGCATGCTGACATACGAGCTCTAATGCTTCTTGTCCGGAGGTTTTTCTGTCTAACAGCGTCTGCCACAGGCTATCTGTCAGATAGTTCGGCAACTCAACAAAATCCTGCAATGACCTCCTGCCTTGAGCCTCCCCGGGGATTTGCTCAGTTTTGTCAGCTATTTGCTGCTGCAACTGCTGTAGAGACTCGTGGTCCCACAATTTCTCATCCAGCATTGACAAGATCTTGCCTGACTGACCTGTGGTCAGGTCAGTGACCGAATCCAACTGCTTCAAGAGCGCTCGCAGCTGCTTCTGCTGTGCGTCCTTGTAGCTCGGAAGGCTGCGCAAGCCTTCTAAAAATTTCTGGCCGGCAACCATTGCCTTCTCAAAAGCACCCGCCATACGCGGAAAAATAAATGGAGGTGCCTCCGACCCAACGTAACGCGCCTGTGAGCCAAAACTGCCCAGCACGTGAAATCAAAAATGTTTGCAAAATGACTTTGTTTTAGACATATGTTTAAAAACATCTTGAAAACATACAAAAAGCTAAGTAGGTTAAGTACTATCGTAAGTAGAAACGACGTTTTTCAACTTCAACAGCATCCTACTTAGAAGTAGGGCGGTAAGTAGCTATCTCCATCATAAGTAAGGAAAAAAATTGAACTTGTGAACCACTTAACCTACTTACCAGCCCACTTAACCTCCCTTAAGTACACTTACACTCTTACTTATAAGTCCACAAGTGCCGCGGGATACCGAAGTTGGAACCTGTTGGACACTTAGGTGCACATACATCGTACACACTTCAACGAGGCAGGTCTTCCTAGGTTGTTATAATGAGGTATGGTTTCATCGGTTCCCGTCCCCTCCATTTGGTTCCCCTTTCACCTTTTCCCCTTCACACACTTCTTTTCCTCTTTCTTTTCATGTCTTCCCTTGCTTCATGTCCGTTCATCTCACTCCTTTCGTTCTTTTGCGCGTACAATGGTCCGGGCCTTAGTGTGTACGCGCGCATCTACTTTCAACTCAGGTGTTAGGTTGCCCAGGTCTCGACAATGAGGTGAGCTCATCGGTTGTCCCTGTGCACTTGGTTTCCCTTTCATTGCCACCACACACACTTTTGTCCTGTCTGTCTTCCTTTTCGTGTCTTCATCCTTTTGTCCTTTCTGCGCGCACATTTGCACATTCGTCCTAGCCTTAATTTTGCCTCCCCTCGGGGAGGCGTGTGTGTGTGTAACCCTTGGACTCATAGGGATCCTTTCGGATTAGTTTTGCTTTTAGAGCAGGGGGACCATCCATGTACTGTGCGCGATGGTCCAACGAAGCGCCCACAGTACATGCGGATATCTGGCCTGATCAGCCAGACGTACCTGCCCGGAGAGAAACCTACGTAAAGCTCAAGCTGTTCCACTTCTGTGTTTTGCAGTAAGCGTCTAATGCAGCGGCGATTCACCTCAGATTGTGAACTTGATCTTTTGGAGTTGCTGGCCACCTGAAACCTTTGGGACCTCCGCTGGATGGACCTCCTCTTCCTTTTAGGTTTCCTTACCTGTACCCTTAGGAAATGGAACCCTAGGCCGGCGTGTGGCACCGCTTTCAGTTCAGTACACCCTATCCTAAGTGTGTGTTTTGCCTTGTGGCCCTCATCTGCGTATTTCGTTTGGGAACCAGGGCCAGTTAGGACGTAGAACCATGCAAAATAAGTGTGTTTCAGGGTTGTTTTACTTTTTTGTATTCACACCGCTTCGCGGTCGAAACCGCCCGCGCAGAGTAAAGGGAAAACAGACGTAGACATCTATCCACGCGTACAGACATACATACATGCAAACATACATCCAGACATGCATGGGAAAAGTGTGTCATGAGCACCCTATCAGCTCGGCAACAACCTGCACTCGCGGAGCCGGGAACTAGCAACTTGTGTTTTCGCAGTCGGGAGGAAATGTCAAGCGTGAAGAAACCCAGCCCCTTCACTGAGGGCTCTGTCTCGGTGCGTCTGTCTCCGTCTGTGGCGGTGACGATGGTGGTGATGATGGTGACGGCGAAGGTGGTGATGATGGTGATGGTGATGGTTGTGGTGATGGTGCTCATGGTTGCGATATAGTCATGTGAATTTCCTCTATGAGCCATGCAACTTGGCAGGTCATTTTGGTGCATTCTATAGAGGGTATTCTATAGAGGAAAAACTGTGGTTCTCTACAAAATTCATTTTGTAGAAACCACCTTTTTAGGGCAATATGCACCCTGGGTGCATGGATTTTATAGAGGCAAGGATTTTGATGACGGCTCTTATACGTAACCCTGGGTAGTTTGATTATTTAGAGATCATCAAGAATCAAGAACCCATGGACACATGATTCTATAGTGTGTAGCTGCTACGAAGGAGAGCTATTGTGTGAAAACACGTGTTGTGTTTTGTGGCTGTGGATGTGTTTGGTGTTTGTGGATGTGTGTGGGGGAGGTTCATGCTCATGTGGGAAGAAGGAAGATGTGTCTTTCGGGGAGGAAGATGAATGATCTGGTGTGCCATGGTTTGCGATTCTATAAAATGTGTTTTTGCTTTGAGGGATGGTCCTTTTTGTGATTGAATCTGTTTGTGGAGTTCTAGAGCTGTGGACACAATCTCAGAAATAGATGTACTCAGCCCATGTAAGTGAAAGGCACTGATTCTATAGAAGAGAATTTGGGTTGATTGGAAGGGAAGCCTTCAAGAACCCATGGACACCTGATTCTATAGTGTGTGGCTGTTAGGAAGGAGAGCCATTGTGTGAAAACACGTGCTGTGTTTTGTGGCTGCGGATGTGTTTGGTGTTTGTGGACATGTGTGGGGGAGGTTCATGTTCATGTGGGAAGAAGGAAGATGTGTTTTTTTGCGCGACAAACTCAGGAAACGTGAAGTTGAAAAATCTGCGTCGGAATGCGTCGGAGATAATCGGACCTTGTCCGTATCGTGGTTGGGGGAACCCTGGGCGTCACTAAAGAATGAGGCCACCTACTCTATGTTATCAACTATATCGACCTGGATTTCCATTAGGGTGGGTGAATCTATAGAGGACCATTTTGCAGATGATTCTACAGTGGTCCAGTTTTTAAGCATGGGCTATGTGCAGCCCTTCTTTTCTACCTTGGGTGTGCAGATTGTATAGTGCAGAACCTGGGGGGACCGTTTTATATCTATTATAAAACGCACACCCTTCAAGGTCAGGTGGAATTCACAGGGGGATGTGGCGATGGTGGTGGCGATGGTGGTGGCGGTGGTGGTGGTGGTGATGGTGCGGAGCGGGGCCGGCGTGTTCCTAGTCTCTGTAGACACCTCTTTCCGCCTCTAGACACCTTCATCACCACCGCCACCGCCACCATCACCACACATCGCCACGTGTCTGTGGGGCCCAACTGTCTAGATCTCTACTTCTGAGGCCTTTAGACACACTGTTTGGGGTCTTTGGCCGGGATGATTTTCCTGATCGCCATAGGTGAGGCAATGGTTTTAGAGGACCGGGATGTCTTAAAGCCAGTCGCCTCGCAAGTAATTATTGTTTCGGCAGGAGAAGTATAGCAGGTGCCGCCGCCTCTACATGGGCGTTGCTTGCAATGACCTGAAGATGCCGAGACGCCGTCACACTCGCGTTCATCGTCCTAGACTCTTAGACTGGAATCTTCCCTTCATCGAGCCCTCACCAAGCCCTTCGTCTTCCTTCGTCTAACCTTCTGCTACCCGCAAAATATCAAAGCTCCTTGTTTTTGTCGAGAAATACTCAGAAAACTACTGACAGAGTAGCCGCGTCAACGCTTCGTTCAACACCTTGCCTTCCGCAACGTTTCGGGCGCGATCCATGTGACATCAATGTGAATACTCCCTTGGTTGGGTACCGCCTTTCCCATCAAACTTCATGCACGAAGAAGGGTTACTTCGCTGCCTGCAGCCCCGACTTCAATGTCAAACGTGATTTTGAATCATGGCGTTTTTGTTCAAAGCGTTTGATCCTATCTCTGGGGACCTTCATGAATAACTATTCGAATTCTCTTGTTTGACGCAGCATAGTATTCTGAAGGAGTCACAGGGTTGTCCAAGAGTTGCAGGCCAGTTTGGACGCCGTGGCCTCGTGCGTTTGTTGTGGTTTGCTGGCCCAGCTTGTAAGCATGGCATCTGAGGCTGTCATACTTGGCAATCAAGTAGAAATGTGTGGGCCGGACCATTCCAACCTCGCTTATTCATGTCCATGTTCGTTTGCTTTGTGCGCTTAGATTGGATTCGCTTAGTTTTGGGCTGCGGCTGCAGGATGAGTGGCAACATGTTCTTGAACTTCTACAAGAGTTCGCAGCGAAGAAACTAGTGCCAGATACGGCGGGGGGCTCTTGACTTGAGTGTCATTTTGAGGTTGTGTCAAATTTCCTGCCAGTGGCTGGCCCAATGTCTCTTCTCCAACAAGAACAAGCATGATGAAGACCGCAGCAATGACAAAGGCAATGACAGCAACGCAGAGCTCTGACAGTGTTAGGGCAAGCGGAAATTGGGAGGGTTCTCCCAATAGCAGGGATCACGTTCAAACATCGTCGTGAAAGGCTGCGTTTTGGATAAACCACCTTTTCTCACACCCAGAGACCGTCTTGGATGTCTTGGATGTCTAGCTTTTTGGCTCTCGTTTTCCGAACATTATTGGCTGCGCATCAACATCCACGTGCAATGCTTCTTCCTAAAGTGCTGCGCCGCGTCGATTTCTTGACACGACTGACAGCAGCCTCAGCGTTCCGCTTCCCAGGTGTAAATGGGGCAGCTGGTCTAGAACCTTTGGAGAGTTTCCCCAAAGTTTCCAGCCGCCCTTTTGCAAAAGTGGCCAGCTGGACAATATTGTATAAATGATGGCAGTGTTGTGTGCCCAATTTAATCACACGACTCTTCAATGTTGTGACAATGACAATTCAAAATGACAACAGCATCAGGGACAGCAACAACCGCAACAAAAGCAACAACAACAACAACAGCAACAACAACAACAACCACAACCACAACCACAACCTCAACCACAACCACAACGACGGCGACGGCGACGGCGACGATGACGACGACAGTGGCAACACTGGCGGCCACAATTGCAATGACAAACAACAATGGCCAAAAATGCCAAGAACAGCCAGAGCGCCCACCCAATGTACAACGGCGACGAAGGTAGACAGTGATCTTCGCTGCTTGCGCCGTTGTGAAACCCTTGTGACGCCCAAGGCCTTGAGGTCGTTTCAAATATCATGTGCAAACATGTGTCTCAGTCTCTAGCGTGGAATGGTTCTTCCGTGCCCAAGTTCATATCCACAAAAGAAGACGCGTCTCAAGCATTGAAGCTACCACTTTCATGATATACCATGGCTGTTTGTTCCACAAAGTTCTCCAGTTCCTGGAGACTACTTCAACTATGCCAAAGAGGTTAGAAGTGGCAATGAGTCCAGGGACAGGATACGATAAACAAATTCATAATGATGGCTTGCAGGGTCGCTTGCAGGGTCGCTTGCAGGATGCTTGTTGATGTTTCTCTCTTCCTCGCCCCGCCATTGTACGATACCCTGGAAGACTCCTCAAGCCTCATTCAATCCCCCGCTCCGGGAGAGATATCTATTATCATTATCTATGGCATTCTATGGTGGCTTTGCTAAAGCTGATGAGTCCATTGATGAGCCTTTTTCCCACCTCGGGATACCTATCATAAAGAAAATTATATAATTCCTATCAAAAAGAAATTTGATATCAAAAAAACATTAATTCGTATCAACAATAAAATTCCCCCTACTCCTTTGGTCCTGGTCTGCTGGTTCCCTGGTCGCTTGGTCCTTTGCTACTAGAGGTGATCAAAGTGCTGCGCAGGCCACGAAATCTGCAGTTCCAGGGCACAAAGTGCTGCTCCTGCCACGAAATCTGCCACTGGAGATGCTCAAAGTGCTGCGCGCGCCACGAAATCTGCACATCCAGATTCACATCGCGCAGCGCTGCCAAGGCGGTTTGCAGTGGCAGGCGCAGCTCTTTGTGAGAGACATTTTGTGGAAGAAAATGGCACATTTTCTGTAGGACAAGTTTTGGTGTGCTGGGTGGGGCCAGGGCTGAGTACGCCATTTTGGCTCAAGCCCTGGCCCCACCATGTTGTTTTTGTGGTGGGTGGTGACGCTCGCGGCCCGCCATGTACCCGGCGGCTGCGGCAGCGCTCGAGATGCGCACTCTGATGGACTTGAGGGACTACTTTGGAGTGCCCCCGGATTTGTGGCAGGCCTTTATCCAGGAAGCCGGGAACCCGAACGACGACATTCGGCTGTTGGCTGCCTTGCCGGGGAATCTGGTGGCGGTGGCCCTCTCTCAGGCCACCTTGCCGGGCGACACTCGCCTGTCGGCTATTCAGGCGGCCCAAGTGGGACTGGTGTGGAAGCTGGCGAGGCGTCTGATGTTTGTGAAAGGTGGCGGTACCTGGGACAATTGGGAGGAAGAAGACCCCTGGTCGCCTACGCCAACATCACCGGGAAGGTCTTCGGCGAGAAGGGAAGCGACAAGCCCGGGGGAGTCCACCAAGGAGTCGAAGGAGAGGACATTGAAGTTCACCCAGGTCTTGGACCAAGGAGACGATGGGGAGTTCGAGGTGCTCAACGAGGAGGACAAGATGGTTCTGTTGCAGAGGTACGTCAACACGACGGGAGCCATGCCGGAGGAGGAGGAGGAACCAACCATCGAGCAGCTCAGCGCCTTGAAGAAGAAGCTGGCTTTGGGCAAACCTCCCTACTGCGACTTCGGCGTCTTCGTCCCGTTCGGGCGGAAAGCACTGAGAGCTTCGAAGTACAGGACATGGATACCGACGGCAGAGGGCTACGTGTCGAAGGAGCTTCCAGGACCTGCGAACTTCACCCAGTGGAGGGCCTGCTACAGGGTGTTCACTACAGCCATGTTGATGCTGCAGGAATGCACCTTGGCACCACTACACGCCTACGAGCTCTATGTGGAGAAGTTGACAAGGCTGTACCCCGACGCCTGGCACCTGGTGTACTCGGCCGACGAGATGGCAAGGTCAGAGCTATTGTCACGCCTCCGCATCAAGATCAACCTGGACCAGAAGGAAGGCAGGCCGATCCCATCGCTCTTCGACGAGAAGAAACCATGGGAGACAGTGTTCAAAATGATTCCGGGCGAACTGAAGTTTTGGCAGGACCAGATTCATGGTCCGGCCCTTACGTGGTTAGCGAGCGGCTCAAAAGGAAAAGCGCTCACCCCGCAGGAGACGGTCGCCCAAGGACCCTTGCGTGGAGGAGCAGAGGCACTACAACCATCGATGGAGTCAGGAACATTTGGGACAGCGTCGCCATCAGCCTCCAGTTCGACCAGGAAGCAAGTCAACAAAGAAAGACGAGAGGCCAAGAAGAGAAAATGGCACGCAGAAAGAGAGGAACTCCATCGACTCCGAGAAGGACGACATGAAGGTTCCTACGGTCGAGGCCAAGGAGGGAAGGGCGCCGGGCGAAAGGGAAAAGGAGGGAAGCAGAGCGAATCTATCTGTTTCTCGTGGAACAATGGGAACTCACCATGCGGGGCACTCCCACCGGGTGCGGAGTGTATGAATTCGATCAAGCGGGGGCATCGATGCTCTTCGCGCGGTTCGCCGGGTCATCCGGCCATCAAATGTCCGACGAAAAAGTGAAGACCTCCGGAGACAAAGAACCAGGCGGTGACGAAGGTAAGAAGGAAGAAAAGGAGGAAGGCGGGGATGATCCTGGAGGTGAAGAAGGTGGGGAAGTGAGCGAAGAAGCAAAGAAGAAGCTGGAGGAGAAGCTCAAGGCCTACGTTCGGAGGAGGAAGTTTCGCTTCGTCCACCACTTTGCAGGACCTCGTGACCCGTTGGGCGCGGAGATACACAGGGTGGCGAAAAAGAGGGACCTCAACGTGGAAGTCATCGCGGTGGAGAAGGACTGGGGTGACGACTTGTGCGCAGACGAGCCCTACAACGCGCATCTACGATGGGCTCGGGAAGGCCTGATCGACGGGTTCCATTCAGGATTCCCCTGTTCGACGTTTTCGCGTCTGAGGTTCAGGGCAGGGCCAAACCTCCCGGAACCTGCATGTTCGCACCCGGGCCGAACCCTACGGAAGGAGTTCGAACAACGAACAACAACGTAGGGAGTGCGACAGAGGAATGGTGATGATGGCTCGATCAGTTCAGATGGCAGAGGAGGTGATGAAATCCCAGACCTCCCTGATCGTTCCGAAAGTCACCTCGCTCGAGAACCCGCCGCCATCAGAGCTGGAAGAACACGTGTCCGCTTGGGGCATGGCTGAGGTCATCGGCTACCTGAGGTTGCCTGGCATCAAGATCTCCTTGTTCAACACATGCGCATACCAATCAGACAGGGCGAGAGGCGACAGACACTGGAAGATGCAGCAGTTTGCAGGCTCGCTCTTCGGCATCCAGAGTTTGAACAGGGAGTGCAAATGCGGCAACAGCAGGCACAGGCCGATAGTCGGGAAGAAGGAGTCGCAGGAGTCGGGCGAATACTCATGGGAGTTGTGCAACAGCTACGCGGTATTGCTCATGGACCACTTTGAGAAGATGGCCACGGCAGAATACCTGGAGGGGAGGTTGAAGGAGGAGGAAGAGGGTCACGACGGCATTGCCACCAGTGATGCGGCGGCGACTCAGATGAGGGAGAAGAGAAGGAAGGAAGGGGTCCGTTATTCTCCAACCCCCGAAAACGAGAAGGCAGAGAAGACACAACAGAGGAATGAAGGGGGATGGAAGAGGAGGAGAATGGATGAAGACGGTCACGGAAGTTCACGCCACGACGAAGGGAGGAAAGCAGAAGGAACGGCAGAGAGAAGAAGGAGCAGGGAGAGGAGGAGCACAGACAGAAAGCCGAGAAGGAAAGAGGAAGAGGTGAAGGGGGAAAGAGCCAGGCAAAGGAGAAGGTCAGAGTCGAGGAAAAGGTCCAGATCCAGGAGGGGTATAAAGGAGGAACGAGGGAAGGAGGACCGCAGGGCGAAGGACAGCACGGCGGAGCACAAGGACCAGAACGATAAAGCGGACTTGAAGTGGAGACCAGGAGAAGGAAAATATGGGTTGCTGAAGGAGGAGAAGAAGAAGGAGCAGCAACTGGGCCAACAGGAGTTCGTTGGGGGCATGAAGAACCCAACGGAAGTGGTAGAAGGCCTCCCGACGCTGCAAAACTTGGGGAGGACAATCTTGGGGGCCTGGGAACGCTTCTGCAACCAGTCCCCTGCGGCGGTGAAGGTGGGCGAGACCTACGGATCCAAGGAATGCCACAGTGGGATGAGAAACTGGTGACGAAGTGGCGCGAGGAGCTGAAGAAGATCACGGGCGCGAAGGG